GGGGGGGGGGGGGGGGGGGGGATACCATGATCCGGAAGAATCTTCCTCCGTACCCTTTTAACATGGCGAAGATCTTCTAGAGGAGCAATCTTACATAACTGCCTATTACAGCAAAGTCAAAAACTATCTTGTTATATAGCTCAGAGTTGGAAGAAATTGAGCATGAGACTACAGCAATAAATCAGAGTGGAAACAAGATAACAAACCTGACAATGGTATTGGCACATTTGGGTTTGATTACACTCGCATACACCTTCACTGGTGAACAAAGAAAGAACACACAAGCAGAGAAGTCTGAGAGATCAATACAAAAAAGAGAAACCACTCTTAAGAGAATGAAAGCATACAAGTGGGCTGATGCTCAGGTGGGAATGCAGGCTTATCAGGTATATGTATGATTTCCCACGCACCTGAATCCATTCCTTAACCTCAACCCTGATCTGCAGATAGGTTTCATAGCACAAAGTATTAATAATTGGGAACTCGGATAAGAGGACTTTTAAAGGGCTCTAACTTTGGTTATATATAATATAACAAAGTAGAGCATTATCGAATTCACTAGTTAATCACTTGTATGTAAGTTGTAACTCAGAAACATGATAAATCGAAACGTATACACTAGAAGAAGGTTACTAATTGTTAGAGAGAATTAGATTAACTCACGCTCTGGAGCTTGGAAGAAGTATTGGTTTCAGCAATCAAGAGGCAGAGACGCGTGAGCTAAAAGAGAGAGAGTTCGCTTAAAAGGCGCGACGGCGAGAGGAGGCGAGAGAGTTGAGTTCTCCTCCGAAGACGAGGACGGAGAAAAACCTTTGCAACGACGACGTTTAGCTTAAGCTTAATAAAATTATAATTAATTAGATGATTAAATACGTGGAAATTATATAATTAAAATATAAAAGAGGCGGGGGACAAGACATGATCTAAAACCCTACAGCAGCAGACAGAGCACTCTCTCCGGCGAAAGAAATGGCGAGTCTAGGGTTACGTCTCAAGGCGGCTGCATCGACGTTGAGGAGCGGAGCAGCTTCTTTCCCAAGGCGTTGTTCTTGGGAGATGGTGAAGAGATCTCGCGGATTCTGCTCTGAACCAGAGAACGACGTTCCAACTTCAGGAATCGGAAGACCTCTCGCCAAGATCCTCAAGGAGCTCAACAAAAAGGTTCCAGATTCCGCCATCAAGACACGTGTCGAAGATGGGTTCGCCATGAAATACATTCCTTGGTTAGGGTTTTAAGCTTCTTTGATTGTTTCTTTTTTCAGAGTGAGTTGTGTTGGTACTAATTAGATGTTGTTGTGGATGATTGTATAGGCATACTGTGAATAGAATAATGAACCTGCATGCTCCAGAATGGTCTGGAGAAGTTCGAAGTGTCACTTACTCTCCTGATGGTAATACCGTCACTGTTGCTTATCGTGTCACTCTCTACGGTACTGATGCTGAGGTATTGCCCCATCTTTTTTAGCTTATATGCTTTTTTTTTAACTTAGATGATGCCTTTAGGTCGTTGGTGGAGAGTTGTTTGCCTTCTTGTTCCAAGCTATAAATATAGTTACAATTCCTTTTCCTGTCTTTACGTTTGATGTTTTGTCTAATGTATGAGCCCCCTTAAGCCAACACAGCTCAGACCGAGTATGTCTTTCTCGCTGTCTTGAACACATTATGTGTTCACTTTATTGCGTTTTAGCTGGAATCATTTGCTGTTTAGGTTTCTTATTCGCTGTTTTGAGCACATTATGTGTTCATTGTAGTGCGTTTTTAGCTGTAATTATTTGCTCTGCTAAAATTGACAATTGTTTTGGGTTGTGAAGATTTACAGGGAATCAACAGGGACCACTTCTGTAAATGACAAAGGCTATGGTGATGCTGTGCAAAAGGCTGAAGCAATGGCGTTTCGCCGTGCCTGTGCAAGACTTGGATTAGGGCTTCATCTTTATCACGAGGATGCTCTGTAATACCTCACGGTTTAACCTTGGGAACAAAATACGTTTTGGGTGTTCTGTCTGCCTTGGTAGCAGTAGTCGGCAAAACGTAAGGAAGTCAAGTTTTGTATCTATTGATGCCTTTTGGGTATTGGATAATTGACCATATTTTGAATTTTTATGTTTAAATCTTAATACTCTTGTTCACTAGATGTGTAAAGTTAAATTCACGGGGTAATAGGTTGATTTTCCAGTACTGAGGCGATTTAAAGTTTACAAAACACTTGCGCTACTTTATTTTTGTGATAAAAACATTTTGGTTTCAGCTTCCGAGCATTATACAACATCCACCTTACTGAGAAAAAAAAGAAAGAAAGAAAAAAACTAGCGAAGGAGAGTCATCTGTTGGATATTGACAGGATATGCGTCGTTAGGTGGTCCATAGAAAGCTCGTCTAGCCAGAACAGAGAGAGCAGTCTGAGTAGGATGAAATGCATCCCAAAACAGATATTGTGACCTGTTAGGACAAGGATTCTGCAACGGGATACATGTGATTTGTCCTTGGTTTCTCCCAATCCCACAACAAGCCCTGTCCACTACACTGAATCCTGTACCACATATATATATAAACCTTGTTTGATCAGCATGGAAGAAACTCATTTTAGTAGTCATGTCATGTAGGAGGAGATCTATACCATAAGCAGCTGGGTTGTTTAGCATGTCACCAACGGCTCCATATGTGTTGCCGTATACATAGATGGCTCCAGGTAACCGTTGGTTCAGCTGGTCAACAAGTGATCTTATCCCTTGGTTAAACGTGCCTAGAATCTGATTCACTGTGTCAACACATCTCTCTGGTGGTCCAACGCCTCTGGCTCTTTGGTTTGGTATGCAGCCTAGTGGTGCTACTCCAGTTATGTACATTTTTCTTAAACCTAGGCCGTACAGAGTCTGTCACATAGATGTAAAATGATTATCATAAGATTCATTGAAGGATAATAGTACTATATCAAGATTTGTTGTAAACATACAAGAAGTTGTCTAGCGTATTGACTGAGAAGTAGGTTGGCGAACTCAGGTGGTCTGTATCTGAGGCTGGAGGAATAGAGACTAGGCATAAGGTAGTTGTTGATATAGTCATTGCTTCCAAAAACAAGAATCACAAGCGATCTTGCCAAGTAATCCGTTAAGTTTTGGGGACTCATCATCGTTCTCAACTGGGTCAGCGTTGTCTCTAGGTTCAAAACTTGCCGGTTCAAGCTGAATCTATCTCCCTGCACAGTACATCCTCCATCACCACTCTGTTACTATGAACTAAAAGTGTATGAAACAAAAAGCTTAGAAGTTACATAGTTTTGGCCTGATTCATCAAGGATGCCACCAGCTGCAGATGCATAGTTAACTCCTCCGAGGATTCTATTACCTGATGTGGTTGGATCAGCAAAGGGAGGAGGCGACGAGATTCCTAACAACTGAGCTGTTATACAGAACAGTTTTTCCAGTAAGACAAAACTAATTGTTGAATGTGACTTTTGTTAAAAGTGTCTGAAGCCTTACCAAGCAGATCAATGAAGTTCATGCCGTTGCTAAACCTACCAGTAGGCCGGAAGTTTAAGTCTATACCATAAGGCAAGTAATTGGCTCTGGCTATGGATGCTAGAAAGTTGTTGTTCCCAACATCAACCAGTGAGTCACCAAGCACAAACATGGCAGGAACTCTAGCTTGTCCGGTCACCAACTCAGGCTGTTGTATTATAACAGTCGCCATCACTGCAACTATAATAAACGCATATCCTCTACTTTGGTTTCTCATCTTTGTTTTTTCTCGTTTGTGCTTTGTTTGAATTTAGAATGTGATCATGGAAGGTTGTTATATAACGGTTCTAAGCAAAACATGCAGCATGTGACACATAGGAGTTATCTTCCGGATTCTCTGCTTCATTTTTTTGTAACGGCTCGGCTGCTTGCATGTAAACGAGTAAATAGGTTGCATCATGTTTGGAAATTCATAAGAAGAAGCTAGAATTGCATATGCAAGAGACAAGACCATGACGCATTTATTTTCCCTCTTCAGATAAAGATCAAGAAAAATAATGAGCACATGATTATCTGAAAGAAGGTCAAGAGATGTGAGCAGCCTTTACCTGTTGAAGGGCCTAACTGGCAATTAAATTTTTCATGAGAGCTTTAATCACATGAAACTGTGATTTATCATTCTCTTCTGGCTCAATTTCTCGTAGAAATGCATGCGTAACTTCACTAATAATGGCATGCCAAACATCTCGTCTCAGTTAACCACCTAAGTCAAGGAACTCTAGAGCCCCAACCTAAATAAACATATTACAGGTCAGCATATCGCCCTAGTAAAACAACCACCCATACATATGACACCAATAAATGCATCCAAACCACATCAGCTACATGAACATATGAACTAACCCACGGCCATGTCTCCTGCGAGATCAAGTCTTAGGATCCCTTTGCTGCCCTTTAAAGTCAATTGGCTGAATATGAAAACAATTAATACGTTTTGACACCAAATGAACTATTCAGTGCGATATGATCCATACTGTCATGGAGAGCCTTAGCCTTCTGCTCCATCTCAAGTTCTCAACCTACAAAGAGATTCTCACCTCAACACAGACGGTTATAACAACCTACAACAGCTCGCTGTCTCGAAAGAGTTTTCACCCAGTACTTGTTCCATAGGAGATCCGGTTACAAGTACGTACCTGTTTGTAAATTCTTTTTCTACAATAAGAAACAGTGACCTTTAAAAACAGAATATACATTAAACTGTGCCACTTTTGAGTGTAGAGTACATACATCCTTACTACTGCTACAAACAACTATAAATATTACAGGGCCAGAGTATGCTTCGTCACTTCCATTTTAGTGAGAAGCCCTCGCATCTCTTCCTCCATTCTCATCTTCATCTCGTAAAACTCTCTTTGCCCTCTCTCCATTGCCACTAACTCCTCCAGCTTCCTCCTCTTCCTCTCCTCTAGCTCCTCCACACTCACCTTCCCCATTCTCCTCTTGTACTCTTCTTCAATTTTCTCCTTCTTAGCTATCGCTATTCGTTTCAGCCCCTCTGCTTCTCTCCTTGCATCATCCGCTCGCCCTTGGAACATAGCTGCCTCTGCTTGCTTCATTCTCACTATGCTCTCTAGTTCTTCAAAACGAGGTTCCGCTGGAGATTCCCTTTTCGAACCTGTCTCCATTCCAAATATTTCACCTTGTCTCTCTATGTGGAATCCATCAACTACGCTTGCTGATCTTTTCACTTGATGTTGCGGTTTCTCTGAGCACACTGATCTCAGCCACGCCGTGTCCTGACTAGGGCTTCCCCTCTCTTGCCTCGGTTTTGGCTGTTCGTATCTCAACGGCGCACAAGTTTCAACAGGAGTGGAGGAATCACAGTCTGCCATTACCAAGAAAAGTGATGATGATCAGCAATGAATATTTTTATAAGGAAGATCTACGGTGCAGATCTCAGAAGAATGTACTTAACATGTCTTCACGAGCACTCTGTATAATTTTAAACTAAGCTTAATAAAAAAAACAGATAAAGCTTCACAGTATAAACAGTTATGCACACCTGAAATGAAACCCAATATCTTATTGCATGCTTCAGGAAGGTCTATCAATTTACTTGTCAAACTTGCCAGCATCGCATCAACAGCTTGTCTAAGCTGTTTCCCTCTAAAGTCTTTGCTTGATGAGAATATCTTACTGACATATTCCAGTTCCTTGCAAAACCTCTCAGATTTCCATTCCCTGGCAAAATTCAGAAACACTTCTTTGACAAAGCCAAACATCTCCGAAGGATGGTTACAAGCGACACAGTGAAACTGCATCTCGGTCATTCCTCGAGCACCAGAAGCACTGATCCCATTCCGGATGTAAGATTCTCTTATCCCACATTCTGTGTGACACCAGTGAAGACACACATCACACCCCACCCAGCTACAGGTGTTGGATGCCATATCAAAGTTTGAGCACAAAAGACACATGCAAGAACTACAAAACCCATCTTTACTTGAACAAACCTTGCAATCACATTCATCCACAGGTACCAAAACCCTACATGAAAGATTTTTACATCTCATGTTCATGTAGATCTCAGCTAAGTGTGTAGAGGAGATACTCTCTTCCACATCAAGGAAATCAGAACGTCCTGTTTTCAAAGAGACCAAGATCTCCAACTGAGCACGATGTGATTTTGTAAGCAATTCCAGTGTAATATCAGTCCTGTTCTGCAAAGCATCTTGAAAAACACCAAGTCGCACATTCTTATCCTTGTTCAGCATGATCTGCCGGATGTATTCCTTCAAGCTAGCTATGTATCGCGAGGGCATCTCATGAAACCTCTTGGTCATCACAGGCATCAAATCGGAGAGAATGTATCGTATTACCATCTCAACAGATTCATCCCCACCAGCGTTAATGCCACTTATCCCGGACATGCTACCACCTAAAAAGTCCATGGCTTTTTTCTTCTCAGCATGGAACTTAGAGCCATTTTCAAGAGAGACTGTTCTTGGACTTGCTGATCTAACATCAACACTTCTCTGGAAACTCAACTGTTTCTCAAGCCTATCTACTGCCTTAGAGCTCCCATCTGTTATTCTAAGATGCTCTTCATCAGCTTGACCCGGAATTATAATTCCTTTCATTGACTGAGGAGGAGCTGAACTATTTCCATTTTCCATCAGTTTCTGATAGACTGTATTCTCATTGTACCTTGGATCATTATGAGACAGTGCCTGCCAATCTATACCCTGAAATATAGGTCGGCTATGAACCGACTGCTCATTATCTCCAATATTGTGATTCAACGAACAGCTTTGGTTGTGATTAAACGAACGTGAACCTGAAAAGGACATAGACATGGTGAAGCCCTCGGAATCAGTACGAAACGTGTCTGTCATAGAGCGAACACTTCCAGAACGGACTGGTGAACCCATAGGCTGATTAGTATCCTGACCACCAATCGGTAACAACACATCTGGTAAGCTAAGTGAAAGATCTAGTGGCTCCAACAACTTCTCATCCTTTGGCTTATTGATACCTGATTGCTCATTTTTTTTTGTCTTTCTGACCGGAGACCTAGAAAACAGTTCAAACCCTCTGCTACTTGGTCCACCGAAGTTGTCATCTTCGTCTCTGTCCCTGTCAGTAAGATCCTCAGGCTTACTTTCCGAAAACACAGCATTTCCATGTAAATGAGTAAGTGGGGCATCCAAATTTTTGCCTTTATCCTCGCTATCTGATACAAGCGGTCTATTCCCTAGAGCATTTTCCTCAACGCATTTCGGGGCTTCAACTTCTGCTTGGTTGGCGTCACCATCACTGCCATTCACTCGATTAAGCTCCTCTGCCTGAGACTGTTCAGGATAAAGACTTTCTTCCAACTTCACTTCATGGTTCTCCTGATATTCCTCTTCTTTGTCACCTTTATCATCGACCACATCTCTAACCTCATTGACAACAGCAGTGTTTCTATCATCCCTAACCTCATGTTCACTAGCCAAATCTGCGTTGTTTTGAGAAGTATGCATGCTCTCTGACGCATGTTCAGCTACATTATCCCCTTTCTCATCACTTTCCTTATCCATCACACTCTCAGCCATTTTCATTTCCTTACCATCATCAAAGTCATCGTTTTTCTTAATCTCCTGGAAGCTGCTAGCATTGTTCTGATCACCAGGAGTATCCTCAGATACAGTCTCTGGTTGAGACTCTGGCTCAGGCTCCAACTCTCCCTCCTCCATCTCGCTACTACTCTTATTACCCACATGCACCTCCTCACTCCTCTTCCCAACACTCTTAGACTGCTCACTCCCAGAGTCCTTAGACCAAGTCGGAGAAGCTAAAGACTTAGATCTAGACCGTGAATTCCTCGAATCAACCTTAACTCTCAACTGCTCATTACTCGAATCTCTCGACCAAGAAGGAGACTTAACAACACTCCTCTCCCTCTCCCTCTCCCTCTCACCATCCCAAACACCTCCTCTCCTTTCTCTCCCAAAATCATTCCCAGGACCACCAAACCTCCTCCAAGAAGAAGAAACACTACCTTCCCTATTAGGCCTCTCTCTCTCGGACCTAAACCCCTTCGGAAAAGCCCTCCTCGACGCGCTCTCAGATCGATGTAGGATCCTATCACCATCTCTGCTGAATCGTACATCCGGATCTTTCCTCCGATTACCACCACCATCGAAATCCAGATTAGATCGTCTCCGTGACAACGACCTCGAGAAGTTATTAACGGCGGCGGGATCTTCCCCGCGGTGGTCACGGTCGTATCGAGAAGGGGATAAGGGTCCTCTACGACCCCAACGGTGGGAGACGGGGCGGTCGGAGGAGTTGAACGGAGGATCGGAGTCTACGTTGTTGTCAGTGTAGGAATCGAGATCGCTGCTGGATCTTAATCGCTTCATCGTTTTTTTTTTAGGGATTTGAGAGAGAGATTAGGGTTAGGGTTAGAGAGAGACGTATCGGAAATAGAGACGTAGGAGAAGGGAAGAGAAGAGACGTTTAGTCAACGATTCTCTCTGCGACACATCTTCCATTTCCGGTTTGGTACAGTGATAGCGCACGTTTTTCCACCATTCGACCCTTTTAGCGCGTGTGATTCACGAGGATTGTGATGAAACGATGATTAATCGATTGAGGTTGAGATAGCTGCGTGATTACACGCGCTTGTTAGTGAGAGTAGGTGATTAACGTGGATTGGGTGGTTAACCGGTCCGAGGTGATTTACTTTAATTGATTACATCAGGATCTTGACTTGGGGTGTCAACCCATTGACCATTTTGTTCTTTTTTTTTTCCTTTAAATTAGTCCAAATAAAATTGTCCAAATATAACTAAAGCCCAAATAAAAGTAGAAACTATGGTATAAGATTTTTTTTCGGCAATAAAACTATAAGATTTATCCATGTCGAAATAAACATTTTCTTTCTGTTTATAAATATTTTTCTCCAAATCAATTATAATATTTTAAATTATTGGAACTGTCTACTGACCAAGCGGTCTAACCCACTTTTTATCAACTTTTCCATGAAGAAACTCTTAAACTGTCCACCCCCATTTGGCACCCCTAGGCAAAATGTTAAATCAAAAAAATAAATGGTATAGTATGTTTTCATGCAGAACATGCTTATTAATCGTAACAGTTTCGAATTTTATTGCAAATGAAACTTAATCATCAATACTATTAAAAGAGAAGGAGTCCTAACAAAATCTACCTATGAAAGTTGTTTGGACCCTTTCATTTAAGTAATAATTATTTAGTGTTACCTAATAATTCCCTAATTTTCTCTAACTATATGGTAATGTTAATACAGTTACCGATTCATATACATTTAATAATATACCACATTAATAAATACCTTTTATAAGTAGCAATCACTTATTGTTTCCATGAAATTAATATACATTTAATAGTGTAATAACACATCAATAAATACCGTTTCACATACATTCGATAGTAGATATCAAATAAATACATATCATATACGATAGTAATGATTTCTATTCCCAGCCAACGTCTATAACTTTTGGTTTTGACTTTTTCATCTTCTCAAAACTATTTAACTAATTTTATACCAAACTATAACTTTAGCTAAAAGTAAACAAAAGAAATAAATAACTATTATTAAAAAATAACTTTTAATCTAAATAAAAGAAAATAGATAAATGTAAAACAGATTAACACTAATAAAAATAAAAAATATTGAATTCTAACAATATATTTTAGATTTGAATCACAATTTTTTAAAAAAATTTCTTTAATGATATAGTAAAGTTTTCTTAAAAGTCATGAATCAAATAGTTTATTCAACTTTATCTATATTATTAAAAGAAAATCATTCTAAAAATCAACCGTGGAAATGTTGTTGGACCTACGTATAACTATTTATTGTTATTTATTTTACCATTAATAATTCTAACCATACAAAATTTAAATATATTAAATGAATCCTATCATTGTTCCTTATTTCATGCGATACACTTTGTTCTCTAAATTATGTTATCACTTAATATTATGTAGGTCTATATTAGGTTTGGGTTAGTTCTTTTGGATTCATTTTAATCGAGTCTATAACTAAACTATCTGTATTTTTTTTCATAATAGGTTTGCATCAGTTTAAGTATTTAGACCAGAAAAAACTTAAAATATCCGAAAACCTGAAAAATTAAAATACAAAAATCCAAAAATATTTTAATATCCAAAAATCCACAATTTTACACGAGGAACAAAAAATATCCAAATTTTCATTTGAATACTCAAAATATAATCTTAAGATTTTAAAATGTTACTGAAGCCGAAATTATAACAAAAATTTTGAATCTATAAATTACAAAAATCTATAATACCAAAACATAGATTTGAAAGGTCCAAATATACACAAAAAATTTCAGGTCTTTGAGTATCGGGACTCGATAGAGACTTGCGGGTCAAAAAACAAAACCTAATATGTAGTTTGCTCGATTTCGAACACGTATTTTCGTGTTGGTTTCGTTTCAGTTTTTTTTTTGGATTCGAGTAAATGTATATGTCTAAGAGAGACTTACATAAGAATGTACATATAAAATCTCAAATAAAATAATTCATAAATTATGTAATTTATAAAGTTTTTTTTTCAATATAATACAGCTTTATAACCTAATAATAATATACAAAATCCCAAAATACTAATTCATAGTAAACTATGTTTATAACTCAACAAAACCCGCGCTTTCGAAGCGCGGGTCAAAATCTAGTACTATATTAAGATTATTCTTCTGCATAAAGTTGATATATTTCACACAATGTTGTACCTATTTAGTTTAGAACATTGCAAAAATGCAAACTATAGTTTAGTTCTTCACTCTCCTAGGATAGTTTTGCTGAGAGGTGTCTTTGAAACTCGAACTTCAAAAATAGGCAAGAGTATCGGCCCTGAGGGGAATCATTACAAACAACCGCTTCCGGCTCCCAAAAAATACTTGAAAATTCAACTTTTTTTATAAGAAATTATTATTATAGTATATAAACATTCATATAAAAAAAGCCAATTTTTAGAAAATTGCTTCTGGTCTTTCCCATGTCAGGACCGGCAAGACTATTGATGTTTTCTTCTCCTCATCTAAAACTAGAGAAATCTGCATTTACAGTTCTTCCTTGGATGCAAGGTCGTGTTCTGGATCTTTAGAGATGTCGCTTGATGGAGAAGGGTTAGGATTTTCTGTCGCAACTGCTACAGTCTCATTGAGTTCCATCTTTACCCAAGATTTTTGCTGTGAATTTCCGTGCCTCGAGATCAAGATCGGGCAATTCAGTTATTATTCTTCTAGCACCCTGCGGAAGAACACACCACATTTAACAAATGCTTAATCGTTCTAGTCGATATGGAGCATCTAGATTAATGCAAGCCATCAGTTATCTGAATCTTTGGTTCCTTTGTCATGGGATTATTGCAGAGATCGATTGTTCTGGCCTTGGATTTTGTGGCGTTTCCACACCAAGATGTTGGATACAACACTAGCCTAGGCGTACAGACAGTAAAAGAGTACCATAAGCTTCGAGAATTGGTTAGCCAGGGACAACTCCTGATGAGCCAAACCCATCAACCTACAATACATACAGATCAGACGATCATGGGAAGCAGACTATAACCAACGATTGAGGCATGACAGCTTTAAGACGGTCTGACCATAATCAAGACTCGAGCTAAAGTAAGCTTAGACCGAGAGAGGAAAAATATCAGAATTCCAGTTCCGCAAACCATTAAAAAAATCCTCACGTCAAGAGAAAAGACCATGAATACAATTAATACACTAAAATATGCCAAGGTGAAGACTAAATGTGCAAAAAAGGTATTACATGTATAGGTCTATATATCTTCAATGTTTAACAGGGCACCATTCAGAGCCAACAGAGCCTTGCCAGGGAGAACCATTCTCTAGTTTGAAAGTATCTCTTCTTTGATTGATTCATTGAGCTGCAAAAATGAACGAAACATATCTAAAATCAGAAGAGCCACAAGTAAACAATCAAACCGACAGATTAAGGTTAACACGGCATCACTAAGCAGTGACATACCTTCATGCGAGATAATGAAGAAACCACACTTAGATTTAATTAATTAACATCCAACGAAAGCCATAAGAGCCAGTATGAACCCAACAGCAGTGAGTCTCATCTCCGTGAGGGAAAGGAAAGAGAGACTCATCAGCTAACTGACGGTAGAGGATAAGCCTAAACGATGCAGATATCAGAATAACTGAGAAATCGAAAAGAGAAGCTAAAAGTTTAGCCAATAGAGTTAAAGCTTGTTTAGATATCTTGAGGAAACAATCTCTAGCGGAATTGCAATCAGAATCGTCACCGAAACCAAGCAAAGCATCGTTGAACTCCCAGAAAAGCTGCTTAGATTCTTTCCAAATCAACTCTCTGACACAAGAAAAAAAAATCACAATGGTGGTGTGACCTGGAGGCATCTGATTGGTGGGTTAACAGTTAGGGATTTTTACGTTGATCTGTACGGATAAATATGGATCCATTCCTTTACACTAGTAATTTACCACGTTGCCCTCTTATCGTAACGTGAACAAACGCAATTTCTTCAAAACGCTTCTTTTATGATATCGACTTCAACAAAAAAGTCACTGATCAAAAAATAAAAAAAAAGAGGAAGGAAGAGTCGAAATATCTGAATCTCTCTCTCTCTCTCTCTCAGAAGAAAGACGATGTTGAAGCAGACGATATGCTCATGGATAGCAGCGATCGTAATCTTCTTCGTTCTCATGATCGTCACTCCCACCATCCCTCAATCTCAAGCCTATCACGATTTCGCCGATCAACGCTCCTTCTTCGGTAACTTCTCTCCTCTTTAATTCTCCAATCATCTTCTTCTAGGGTTATATTATCTTAACGATCCAATCATCAATCTCAGGTATCCCGAATGCTCTCAACGTCATCTCCAACTTCCCTTTCCTCATCATCGGCCTCCTCGGTCTCCTCCTCTGCTACTACCCAGACAATTACTTCAGATTCAGGCGAGTCAACCTCTCTACTTAAAATGAACAAATGGATTTAACGATTGAATCTTTTTGTGTGTGTTGAAACAGTTTGCGAGGTGAGAAGTTAGGATGGACTTGTTTTTTTGTTGGTGTGGCGGCTGTTGCTTTTGGATCTTCTTACTATCATCTCCATCCTGATGACGCTCGTCTTGTCTGGGATCGTTTTCCTGTACGGCTCTATCTTCTCTCTGTTTCTAACTCTCTGTATATCTCTCTCACTTGTGTTTTGGTTTTGGAGTAGATGACTATTGCGTTTACGTCTATAATGGCTATATTTGTGATCGAGAGGATTGATGAGCATAAGGGTACTTACTCCATTGCTCCTTTGCTTCTTGTTGGCCTTGTTAGCATTTTCTATTGGAGGCAAGTATTGAAACTTTGTGTGGTTTTCAAATGATTACAGCTCTTTTTTAGATGGTAACTTGTGGGGGCTGTAATTTGCAGGTGTTTTGATGATCTACGTCCATATGCTTTAGTTCAGTTTGCTCCATGTATTGTAATTCCGCTTATGGCTATTCTTTTACCTCCGATGTATACACATTCCACGTATTGGCTCTGGGCTGCAGGTTAGTGCTCTTTCAGTGTTGATGAGTTGATATCTTCTTCAGGTTCTTATTCTAGATTCAATTGGTCCCAGGATTCTATCTCTTAGCTAAGGTGGAAGAAGCTGCTGATAAGCCCATATATAGCTGGACGCATCATATTGTTAGTGGGCATTCTATAAAGCATTTGTGTGCTGCTATGGTCCCTGTCTTCCTTACCCTCATGCTAGCCAAAAGAGACGTTCAAACCGAGAGGTATATATGAAATGACACACCCGTATTCTGGACTTTCATGCTTTAACTCTATCTTTTGCTAAATACAGGATTAGCTTGTATAAGACATGGAAGAGGAGTAGAGGGAAGGAGTGTACCTACTCCAACGTAGCAGTCGAAGAGACTCCGTAGAGGTTATGTTGGGGACTCTCTCCGTATTTTACCTTTGAAAGTTTGTGTTTAACATCATTGGCAAATTGAACTAGTTATAGCCGTATAGGAGTAGTAGAGGTTGGTAATCCAATTGGAAAACTCATGACCTTGTGTAATCTTATTACAATGTAAACATTTCATAGTGGTAACAACACTTTGATGTTATCATGATAAAAATTTGGGATACAAAGTTTTCCTATTGAAATCGTCAAGTAGGAGGAAGTGTCGTTAAGTCTCCTAATAACAGAGACGACACCTTGAATCCCGTAACTTCTCATCTCCATTCGCCACCACTCCAGTGAACAACTGCTTGCTCAGAGCAGTCCCTGACATCGCCTCTCCTCAAGAGTCAAGTCTTATGCACTACTTTGAGAACTTATCTTCCCAGTTTTCTAGAATTTGATATGAAACACCCAATATCTTCGGTGAGAGAGAGACAGTGATTGAGCTTAGTAACAGAGACAGAGTCTTCTCAACAGACACGTAATATTCATTTCCCGTAATGATGGGTCACGAGAACTGAATTTCATCCCTCTTTTGGTCCCCTTCACATGTTTAGCCTGTGATGCAACTAACTCCTTTATGGTAAACACTATAATCCACATTTTCCCCAAAACACAAGTTTCTGTTTTCACCATCTCTCTTTCCCAGTTCATATCAATCAACTTCAAGAACATGAAATCAAGTTTTCGTTTCATCGATCAAGGTCTCCTTATCTCCCAGACCTTTATGAGCTCTCCTTACCTCCTGGTAATATCAGCATGCCTCCTCATAGCAGTCTTTGCTTACCATTCCTTCAAACCAACATCTATATACCTCATTGACTTCTCATGTTACCAACCTCCAGACTTCTTACGATCTCCAATCTCCAATTTCATTGAGCATCTTAACCTATCAGGTATATTTGACAGAGAATGCCTTGACCTCCAGCAGAAGATTCTAGAACGTTCAGGGATTGGAGATGACGCGTGCGTCCCTGTAACAGTCCATGAGATTCCACCACACTCTTCTCTCTCAGCATCCAGAGAAGAAACTCATGACATCCTCTTCACTGTTGTCCAAGACCTTTTCTCAAAACACAAGATAGATCCAAAGAGTATTGACATCCTTGTCTCTAACTGCAGCCTCTTCTGTCCTTCTCCATCCATAACCTCCATCATCATAAACAAGTTTGGCATGAGGAGCAACATAAAGAGCTTCAGCTTGAGTGGAATGGGCTGCAGCGCCGGGCTTCTATCGATAAACCTAGTAAAAGATCTTATGAAAATTCATAGTGGCTCTTTGGCTTTAGTGTTGAGCATGGAAGCAGTGAGTCCAAATGGTTACAAAGGGAAGTGCAAGTCAATGCTCATCGCTAACACAATCTTCAGAATGGGTGGAGCAGCGATTCTTCTCTCCAACAGAGAGCAAGACAGGGACAAGGCGAAGTATAAACTCCAGCATCTTATCAGAACTCATCTCGGATCAGATAATGAATCTTATGAGAGTGTAATGCAGGAGGTTGATGAGGAAGGACTAGTGGGAGTAGCTTTGTCTAAGCAGCTTGTGAAAGTAGCATCAAAGGCCTTGAAGATCAACGTGGTGGAGTTAGGCCCTAAGGTGTTGCCTTACTCAGAGCAGCTCAAGTACATAATCTCATTCATCAAAAGAAAATGGGGAAAGGATAAGAAGGAGAAGGAAGTGTACACACCGAACTTCAAGAAAGCTTTTGAGCATTTCTGTATACATGCAGGAGGAAGAGCGATAATAGAAGGTGTGGAGAAGCATCTGAAGCTGGAGAAAGAAGATGGAGAAGCGTCAAGGACGACGTTGTATCGGTATGGGAACACATCTTCGTCTTCTTTGTGGTATGAGCTGCAGTACTTGGAAGCTAAAGGTAGAATGAAGAAGGGAGATAGAGTGTGGCAGATTGGGTTTGGAAGTGGGTTTAAGGCTAACAGTGCTGTTTGGAAATGTATTTCTGAGATTGATTCAAGAGAGAAGAATGCATGGTCTGATAGAATCCATTTGTATCCGGTTTGTGGAGATGCATCAGGTTAGAATTAACACAATATCATGATTTGATTAATGATCATTAACCTCTTATTATATGAAAAGAAAGACAGAACATGGTGTCACAAGTAAGAAGAGGCCAAAAGTCATGTGCACATTCAAACCTAATAACAACAGAACAGTAAATGATTCAAAGTCTTTTGAATTTAGCTGAGCAGCTCTACACGCTCTTGGCCATTATCTTTCTCCTCTTCAAACTCCTCACCCATCACTCTTTCTCTTGCCTTTCTCGCCTGTTCATATGGTTCATAGGATGTTAACATAGACAATCACTTTCACTTGCTTTGAAGAATTAAATTAACATATGAAGGACATGACATTTACCTGTTGTTTCCAGTTAGTGAGGATGACGATAAGACCAAGCAGAACAGCTTGCACAAATGACCCAACTGTAATACCAATCCAGAGTCCTTTTCCTCTCATGTTATACTTAAAACCTAATATAACAGCAGTTGGTATCCCAAAGAGATAATATGCAGCTAGGTTTACATATGCACCAATGTCTTGCCTCCCTGATCCTCTAGCCACACCTGTTTCAATCCTTAACATTCATTACATTAGTCTCTTAGTTAATGACTTTAATATTACAGAAAGAAGAACAGAATCTTAACCTGAAAGAACTGCGTGAAGAGCATCGAATATGACTGATAAAGAAACCAATGGAGCTATTGATCTCACGTAATCCACAACTTCGGCTTCAGAGCTGAATAGGTAACCAAATACGTTTCTTGCAGCAAAGACTGTTGCACCCACCATTATTGATTCTACACATGTCATTACCATCACTGTGTACACCGCCATTCGAGCTTTTTTAGGGTTTCCAGCTCCTAGTTCATTTGCAACTCTTGTACTACAAGCAACCAAGTAACAAAGAGAGTGAGACTTAGGTTTATAGATATCTCCTTTTTGTGAAAAATTGACGGCTATATAAGGAGCAAGAACCTTGCTGCTGCGCCTAGACTCTCTGGTATTTGGTACAATGTAAAGATTGTTGATAGACTGTTCAACAAGGAAGCAAAGCAACTGAGTTGTTATCTCAAGAACATAAGTCTACTAGAAGATAAGGAACATACCACACTGAGAGAACAGAAGCTTCTAACTTCGGGTTTGGTAAGATCCCAGAGAGCATTACAAGAAACTCAAATGACCACCACTCCAGGCTGAACACAACCGCCATAAACAACAAACAGTTTCATCTCAATTCAAATGAACTAAACCACAAAGAGGCAAAGATGATGTTCATACCAAATCATAGATGCAGATGGGACACCAAACTGGAAAAACTCTCTCATCCCTTCAAACACACTCATAGAGATCTTCGCACGGCTCTTGCTACACGTGGAAGAAAACGTCATGTACAAACCAAGCACAACCACGTTAAACCAGTAAGAAACACTAATCGCAATAGCTGCACCGATACTCCCAAGCCCAAACTTGAAAACCAAACACCAGCAGAGAACAACATGGCAACAGATAGAAGACACTGAGCTCATAACCAAAGGCAGAATCAAACTCTGCGCTTGGAAAAACTTAACAAGAGGCTGCATCGTCGCGTAACCAAAGAGAGCTGGTATGAGCCACGTCGCAAACTTCCCTGCTTCTTGAGAAACCTGAGGATCTTGACCAATGAAAGAGAGTATCTCACCCATGTAACTCCACAGAACAGACAAAGGGATAGAGACAAGAAACAGAGCTAACATCCCTGTGTAAGTATGTTCTCCTAGCTTCTCAAATTGTTTAGCTCCGTTGGCTTGACCACATAGAGTCTCCAACGCACTAGCCAATCCAAACTGTGAAAGAAAGATCATCACTAAGTCTCATGTTTAAAGATAAAGAATCTTCAAGAAAAGGAAAAGAACATACGACGAGGCTGAAGCCAGTGACGCTGCAGAAAGAAACGGCTATGGCTGTGCTTGAGAGGTAAAGCTCACCGAGATGACCAACCATCATGATCGATATGACTTGGAGAAAGTACATGGATGAGTTCACTGCAACCATTGGACCTGCGATGTAGCTCAGCCTCCCCATCTCTCGTAGAAACACATCTTTTGTGTTGACTTCTTCTTCTTCTCGGACGAGCAAGCCTTTCTGGCGCAGCGTACGAATGGGTGAACGGTCGATCAAAGAATTTAGGGTTCTTGAGACCTGTTCTTGGATCGATCAAGAGTTACTTGCGTTAGCTTCTTGAGACCAACTTCCTGTTTGATGAATTGAATCGAATCGAACAAGGGAATAAAAGCAAAGCTTCTTAATTAAATAGTTTTTGCACTTGTATTGCATTCTACAGGTTATGCTTATATAGTAGATTCCTTTTGACTTTCCTTGAGGGATAAGGAATCTAAAACCTAACAAAATAAGGAAAAACCGAACATTAAGAAAATAAAACAAATCCTAAATGCTTTGAACTTCTGTATCTTCTTCAAGTTGGCGCCACAAGTAAGGATGCCGCTGCATCAGGACTCCCCGGGTGAAGAGGATTCGACCGCGAATCAGAAGTGGTGGCGTCGGAAACATAACGGGAGAGATATTTGACGTTAAAAACATCTGATGTTGTGATACCAGGGGGAAGACGTAGGCGATAGGCGTTGTCGTTGATGTGTTCCAAAACCTCAACAGGGCCGATCTTCTTTGACTTGAGCTTATTATACGCATGTGCGGGAAGACGATCACGCGAAAGATAAACCCAAACTAAATCACCAACATCAAAAACCACACGCCGGCGATGCTTGTCTGCGGACGTCTTGTATTTGGTCGAAGAATCTTGTAAGTGAGCAAGGGTAGAAGAATGAACTTCCGCGATTGTATCAACCATCGAAGAGGCATCACCATGGATACGAGTTCTATCCGGCAAGGTGGTAAGCGCCACAGGAGCTCGTGGTATAATACCATAGACGACCTGAAATGGGCAGAACCCGGTGCTTCTATTGCAAGCGTGATTATGCGCAAACTCTGCCTGTGGTAATTTCGAATCCCAACTTTTAATTGCGTCACCAACAAGACACCTTAAAAGATTGCCGAGAGAACGATTGACTACTTCCGTTTGTCCATCCGTCTGAGGATGATATGCAGAACTCATGTCCAGCGTAGTACCCAAGAGCTTCCATAAAGAACGCCAAAAGTGGCCAAGGAAACGAGAGTCACGATCTGAGACGATGGACAAAGGCAACCCGTGAAGTCTATAGATTTCGCGGAAGAACAAAACAGCGACCTGAACCGCATCAGTGGATTTCTTACAAGGGATAAAATGCACCATTTTGGAGAAACGATCAACAACAACGAAGATCGAATCAAAACCCTTCTGAGTGCGAGGAAGACCCATAACGAAATCCATACTAATATCCGTCCAAGGTTGAGTTGGAATCGGTAAAGGCATGTACAAACCTGCATTCGTTGCTTGACCTTTAGATTTTTGACAAACAACACAACGCTCAACAAATCTCTCAACATCACGCCGGAGAGAAGGCCAAAAATAAGATGAGGAGACGAGCTGCAATGTACGATCGCGACCCACATGACCTTCACGATGTAATTCGGAAAGTAACTGAAGCCGGAGACTACTATCAGGGATGCAAAGTCGATTGCCATGAAAAAGAAAGCCGTCATGAATGGTATAGATAGGTGACGCTACACCGGCGAGGACTGCACTATAAATCGGACCAAAATATTGATCTGTAGGATAAAGATCCGATAAGAGACCAAACCCAGGGACCGATGTATGGAGAACCGCCAAAAGAGAATGCCGACGGCTCAGGGCGTCTGCAACGCGATTAGTAGCTCCCGAAGTATGCTTGATGACGAAGGTGAATTGCTGAAGGTACGAAATCCATGAGGCATGGCGAGCAGAGATCTTTCCTTGGCTGCTCAAGTGTTTAAGTGCATCATGATCTGTATAAAGCACAAACTCCTTATGAAACAAATAGTGTCTCCAATGTTTAATAGCCTGGACGATTGCGTAGAACTCCACGTCGTACGTACTGTAACGGGAACGTGCACCAGCCAATTTTTCACTGTAGAAAGCCAATGGGCGTCCTTTTTGACTAAGCACCGCTCCGATACCTGCTTTAGATGCATCACAGTGTAACTCAAAGGGTAATGTGAAGTTGGGTAGGGCGAGAACCGGGGCCGTACACAACTTGTCTTTGATGATAGTGAATGCAGTTGCCGCATCAAGTGTCCATAAGAATTGTCCGTCGCGGATGCAGTCGGTGATAGGTGCCATGATGCTACTAAACTGAGGAACAAAGCGTCTGTAAAACGAGGCTAAGCCATGAAAGCTTCGAACCTCTGTGATGGATGTAGGCGTCGGCCAAGATTGTATAGCAGAAATTTTCCCGGGATCCACCGCTAAGCCTTGCGCAGAGACTATGTAACCGAGAAAGTGCACTGTCGATGATCCAAATTCACATTTTTTTAGTGTAGCATAGAGCTTATCACGTCGTAAGACGGTCAAGACCGCAGCGAGATGGTCTAGATGATCAGCCAACGAAGTGCTGAAGATGAGTATATCATCAAAATAAACGACCACAAACTTTCCAATGAAAGGTCGTAGAGCTTGATTCATGACTCGCGTAAAAGTACTTGGAGCATTAGAGAGACCAAAAGGCATAACCATCCATTCAAACAACCCTTCGCGAGTCTTGAAGGCTGTCTTCCATTCATCGCCAGGATGAATCCGGATTTGGTGATAGCCACTCTTAAGATCAAGCTTTGAAAAAATTGATGCTGTACCAATTTGATCGAGCAAGTCATCAAGGCGTGGGATAGGAAAGCGGTAGCGCACCGTGATCTTATTGATCGCCCGACTGTCTACACACATCCTCCAAGAACCGTCCTTCTTGGGTATGAGTAAGGCAGGAACCGCGCATGGGGAGAGACTCTCGCGCAAGAAACCCTTGGCGACTAGGTCTTCCACTTGTCTGCGTAGTTCTTCGTGTTCTGTTGGGCTCATACGGTAATGGGAACGATTTGGTAAAGCTGCGTCCGGTAAGAAGTCTATGCGATGCTGAATATCGCGTAGAGGCGGGAGACCGTTAGGAAGGTCGTCAGGGAATACATCAGAGAAGTCGGAGATGAGTTTGGTGAACGCTGGTGGAATTGTGTCTTGCTGTAGTAACGTACTTGGCCTGGTGATGAGAATCACGACCAAGCCAGCATCTTGCATTGCCGCAATAAACGGTGATTTTTGAAGGTAGAGAACCGGGTTAGTTGTGGCGATAGTTGAATCTGGTGGTGATGGCTTCAATATGAATTTGCGGTTAGCAAAGGTGAAACTGTACGTGTTGAGATACCCGTCGTGAATAACGCGTCGATCAAACTCCCAAGGCCGTCCAAGGAGTAAGTGGCAAGCATCCATAGGGACGATGTCACAATAAACTTGATCTTTGTAAGTAGGACCTACGGAGAATGAGACCAGAGCACGTTTGGTGACAACAAGATCATGTTTTTGCTGAAGCCAAGCAAGTTTATAAGGAGTCGGATGTGGTTCTTCTTTCAACTGAAGTTTCGTGACGGCATCTGCAGCAATAACGTTTTCGCTGCTTCCGGAGTCAATCACAAACGAACATACTTTTCCGTTGATGGTGCAGCGGGACTGAAAGAGTTTGTTGCGTTGGGGAAATTCGGTTTCGACTTTAGGAGCCAAACAGGAACGCCGGACGATGAGAAGCTGGCCAGAGTCGGGAAGGAGTTCTTCTTCTTCTTCGTCGTTGACCGGGTCTGCATCATATAAAGGTTCTTGATCTTCGTGAATTTCGTCGATGAGCAGTCCACGCCGTGTCTTTGAGGGACACGCTGACTGACGGTGACCTGCTTCGCCGCAAGGAAAGCATCGAAAACCTCCAGGGCGAGCTTGGGGTGTTGTCGTGGCTGGAACAAGTGCTGTTTCTGTTTTTGTTGCTGCTGTATCATTAGTAGGGGTTGCGGATGACGAAGTAACTTGACGAGTTTGACGTGTGGATCCCCATGATTGAGAACCACTACGGATTTGAGCTTCAATTGTCATAGCTTGTTGATGAGCTTCGGAAATTGACTGGGGGCGAAATAAGTTGATGGTGAATTGAATTTGTTGACGTAAACCTCCCACAAAACGCATGACGAGTTGCTCTTCCGTATCGCGAAGCTCAATACGGTTAATCATTCGAAAGAACTCGGTGGCGTATTCATCCACTGTCTTAGATCCTTGACGTAAGTTATGAAGTTTCTGAAACATCAATTGATCATGATTGTAAGGCAAAAAATTTTTCTGCATCTCACGCTTAAGCTTGTCCCAAGTTGTGATCTTTGATTTTCCTTGACGAGCACGGGTTGTCTTGACCTGAGACCACCAAGCTGCAGCTCTATCGCGGAAACGAATTGCAATGAGTGGAACACAACGATCAAGTGGGACTTCCTTAAACTCAAGGATTTCTTCTACCGTGACGAACCAATCAAGTAGTTCCTCGGCAACGGTTGATCCTTTGAATTCCGGGATCTCCAGTTTGAAACCAGTTTTCCATGATTTGTTATTGTTATTGTCTTCATTATCTGAATCTGACTCGGGAATAGGAATGTTGCGACGACGGTTGTGTTGCTGACGGAGTGGAGCGAAGGGGTTGGAGTCGTTGTCGGAATCGTCATGGAGGGATAGCTGATCTTGACGACGAGGACGAGGTGAGGTACGGCGTTGATGTCGTGGAGAGTTGGCGCGTTGTTGCTGTGTGGTGAGTTCGGCGACGGCGGTGACGAGGTTGTGAACTAAAGCGTGGAGATCGTTGACGGATTGTTGTGTGGCGGGGATATCTTCATCAGCTGGTTGTAAGCGAGCTGATTTGCGAACCATCGTAGCGGTTGAGAAAGTTTCGGAGCGTAGCAAAGCTCTGATACCAACCTGGCGCAGCGTACGAATGGGTGAACGGTCGATCAAAGAATTTAGGGTTCTTGAGACCTGTTCTTGGATCGATCAAGAGTTACTTGCGTTAGCTTCTTGAGACCAACTTCCTGTTTGATGAATTGAATCGAATCGAACAAGGGAATAAAAGCAAAGCTTCTTA